GCTCCCTTCCCGGTCCCTGCGGTCCTCAGCCAGGCTGCGAGCAGGCCGGCATCTCCTGCCCAACCCCAGCCTCCTTTGGACACCTCTCATCTGTGAGTGTCTTCCCGGAAGAGCACCTTTAAAGACTCACCCGCACGCACAGCCTCGGCCTTTGCCCACCTGCCCTGGGCTTGCTCCTTGACCGGTCCTCCCACTCCCCGGCTCTCCTCCTCTGAGGGGTCTCTGAGGCCCCTACCAAAGCCAGCCATTCTCCCTTCAGCTCCGTCCTGCCTGCACCTCAGTGCCCCTCCTTCCCAACACACCTGTGAGCCTGCCCTGTTCTGGCTGCTCTCGCCCCGGGCCCCTGGTGGTCTCTGCTTCTGCCTCCTGGTTCCTCCAGGGCCCCTTGCATCCTCTCCCTGGATGACATCATCTCTCCACAATCTTGAGTGCATGACGCAGCACCAGCCCTGACTACTCCCCTGGGGCTTTCCCAAACCCCACTGCCTACGTGTCCGTGGGTACCTTCTAGGAACCCGTGTAGGAGTGGATGTCTTATCCCGCATCCTGTCTCCCGGCTGCCCCCTCCGTCAGCTCCCCTCTGTCACCCGCCCAGGCACTAAGCTTGAAACCCGAGGGCCACCCCCTTCACCTCCTCATCCCCTCCCCGCAACCCGATTTCTTCGCTTGGCCGCTCAAGGAGAGTGGGGAGTCTTCCTCTGAGTTCTCTCTCTTGGGGGGTCTTCTTTCTGTCCCTTCTGTTTCCTCTGAGGTTTAGCTACTCATCATCTCCCACCAAGATGGCCATTTGCGCGGACAGATGCCCCTGCTCGAGTCTAGCACGGGCGTGCCACTAGTGAGATCTTTCTCAAGCGTCTCGCAGATCCCCGGCTTCCTGTTACCAAGCAATAGATGACGATATTTGTTTACCAGTTCACAACCTGAAAAGCACTTGCCAAGACATGAAATGGGGGATGCTGTGATCCCTTCTTCTTAGACACAGGGGCAGAGGCTAAGTGCACGCGCTGTGAGCCAGAGATGGCTTTCACTGGGTGCCTTTGCCCCTCCAGGCTCTCCAACTTTCCCAGGGAAGCCTCCAGAAACGTGGTTCCGCGCTGTTAGTCTGCTGCCCCACTTGAGGCTGCCATCCCAACCAAGCCCCCGGACACTTCCCAGAACGTGCTGGGCAGTGTGTCCTCCCTCCCGTTCTTTCTGTCAGCACACAGGAGTCTCCTCTGTGCCGCCAGCTCCTTTCCACAAAACCAGGTACCTCACACCACCACCAAGGCCCAGGCCAAGTGTTGCTTTACCCAGAAACCCTTGCTGTTCAGGCAGGCTCACTGTGCCACCCCCCCCTCCTCGGTGGCCCCTGGAACACATCAACCGCTGGCTAATTCTGAACAGGGCTTGACACCAGCCCCAACACACAGCAGCCCCTGTGCGGGGAGCTCTTAGGAGCACGCCACCTTCACAATGACTCAGTGACCGCGTCCACGCCGACGCACAGCGGCCCTACAGGACAGGGCAGAGCTGCCCCTGTGTGGTTCTGTGACAGTGACTCTTTACAAGTCTTCCTCAGAAGGACTGGTGGTTTTGAACTGCTGACCTGGTAGTTAGCAGCCCAACATGTAACTACTTTGCCATGAGGGTTCCTCAGATACCCCAGATGGAGAGATAACTGATGGGTTGAGGAAACTGGAGGCCAATCTGGCTCAGAGATTCCTATCTTCCCTCCTCCACCTCAGAGGAGTAAAACACCTCCCAGCTGGGTCAGGCCCCAAGGCTACTCTGTAGACCCCACAGGGTCCCCGGGTACAGAGCTGGACCTCCAGGTGAGAGGGCTACACCTGATTCCTATAGCACTGATGCCAGCTCCTTTTTGATCGGTGCTAGAGTTCCATTTGAGGAACCTCCTGTCAGTGGAGGTAGGAAAGACCGGGCTTAGACGTAGTATGCACGTCCTGGTCCTCACAGGAGGGTTGGCGCACTGGGCTCACCTATGCCTGACGCCTGCAGTCATTCCTTATATCATGCAAATGGTTACTAGCCCAAAAGATGGGCATGGGAACCCTCTCAGAGGTGCCTGGAAGGACAGCTCTGGAGACCTGCATGGGGAAGATCTTAGAAACCTTCGGGAGCAGCTCTTCCTGCATACTGCATGGGCATCAGCCAGACCGCAAACAACAGGAAGCCTGATGGTGGGGGCAGACGACGCCTGTTAATCTCTATGCCTCCGTGCTCAGCTCCATGTTGGCTGTATTAAGGGGCGCCCTATGTGTTTATTGGAAAGAGTGAGTGGATGGATGATGAGGCGGAGATGACAGCAGGGCCGCCTTTGGGTCAGGATTTAGGACTGGCTCAGATGGGTCTGGAAGAAAGAACAGGGGCTAAAGGACACGAGCTACCTGCATCCTGTGCTCACGAGCACACACACACACACACACACACACACACACACACACACACACACAGAATTCTTCCCATAGAGTCTACAGGAGTCTCTGACCTAGGAGAAGGGAGAGGGGAGGAGGGAGGGAGAACAGGAAAGAGAGAGACCTAGATTCCAAATCGGAAGAGGAGGAGGAGGGTGGAGGAACAGAAGAGAGATTTTTAAGGAAGGAGGTGGAAAATCTTTAAGGAAGACACTGCCAGGGCAGTTGTGGCTTTAGGGTGGATACCCAAGGGAAGAGCCAGGGGGCTTCCCTGCTAACTGTAATGTTTTTCATCTGGACCCAACTGGCCCAGTTCTCCTCCTGCACACACTGCCCAGAACAAAGCTACCAGAACGGACCAGGGACCAAAATAACCTCTTGTCTGCTGGGGAAGGAGCACTGGCAGGGAAGCAGTGGTTAAGAGCTCAGCTGGTGGCAGCAAGGTGCTGGGTTCAAACCCCACCTGCCGCTCAGCGGGAGGAAGATATGGCCGTCTGGTTCACTGAGATCGACAGCCTTGGGAAACCTCATCTGTCCCATAGGGTTGGGTTTTTCGGTCCTTCCTTTCCCACCTGTCTCCTGCTGCCTGCTAAGCCTCAAAACAAATCAATAAATTTAATATTTCTTATTGTGGTGAAAACATACACAATAAAACATATGCCAATTGCTTGTCTTTTTGATACAGTATCCTGTGACTCTTTGTGAGTCAGCCCATCCCACCCTCATAACCACTCTCCGAGGCAGAACTGCTGCACTGACCGGAAACCCGGGCTGGGCCCTCAGGACGCAGTAAAGCCTGGAGGAGGTGTGGGTGCTGGGGGCCTGGAGGGGGAGAGTCCAGACAGGGGTCCTGAACACACAGGGAAAGCTAACGTTTGGGCTCTGTGAACGTTCTAGATACCAGGTATCCACCTGTTCTGCCTACATGTTTCCACACCGTGTCTGTCCCAAACAGACTTCTCATGTCTCTCCCTCATTCCATCCTCCTCCGCCCCCGCAGCCTCTCCTTCTCTCAGGTGTCCTCCCTGCCCCTGGATGGGGATGCCCAGAGTAGAAGGCTTCTAGGAGGAGAGGCCCAGCCCCCAGTGTGTGAACCAGTGCATCTCTCCCACCTTGAATGGACTCACTGGCCGTAGAAGCAGAAGAGGTGATAGACATCAAGCGGTCCAAGTCTACAGATGAGTCAGCCACTGAGGTCAGGAGAGGAAAAGGGCTTGTCTGAAGCAACCCAGTTGGCGGTTCAGTGGGGCCTGCAGGGCAGCTTCCAGCTCTTCTGACTTGCAGTCAAGTGCTCTCTGATGGCACCAGATGGCCATGCTACCCAGCAGTGCCGCTCGGCACCCACAGGGCTGGCCAGAGCACCACGCGGAGAAAGCTGCTACCTTGACCAGCTCTGTTCTCTGGCAGGCCGGTCTCCTCCGCAGGGAGGCCTGCACCTGGGAATAGGCAGGGGTGGAGGCAGGGGACAAGGGAAGAAGGTTTTAGCTTATTTTGTCCCAAACTGTGGAATAAAGAAATAATCCACAGGCACAATGCAAATTCATCTATTATGTGTCTACAACAGCTGGGTAAGAGGATTTGGGGGTGGGAGTGTGTGTGGGTGGAAGGGGCTCAGATACCCTCTAGAGCTGAAGATGCTACTGCCGGTCAGAGAGAGTGGCCCTGTCACTCAGTCCCTGCCCAAGCTCTGACCGCCAGGTGATTCTGAGGCGTTGTGGGCAGGATGGATATTAGGAAGAGGGAGCAGAGGCCCGATCTGGGTGGGGTGGGGTTAGGGGGTGGAAGCTTGGGAAGAGAAGCCTTGCGCGAAGGAGGGAGCTAAGGAAAGCTCAAGCTTCCGGGGAGGGTGGGCGGTTGACCCACAGACTAGCTGGTTCACCAGGGGAGAGGTTGGGAGTCATGGGGGGGAAGTGGAGGCAAAAGGGGGAAGGGGCGCTGGCACTTCCTGGTTCCTCCACCAGCGTGGCTCCTGGGAAGAAGAGGAGCTCACTGGGAGGTGCAGACGGAGATGGCAGTGAGGCTCCCCTCCCTGGGCTGTCAACATCTTGAGATGCAAGGGGCCAGTACCCCAGAGGCCTGGACATGCCCCGGTGGCCCGGCGGACCCCCAGCCCAGCTCCCTTAGCCCTTCCTTCCCAGGACCTTTCTTGATACCTGTGAACACAACTATCTCCCGAAGGTCCCCCTTATGATTTGCTGTGAGACCCTGTGCAAGCACCTCTCCTGTAGCCGGATTCTGCCCCCACATCCAGAGGAACAGACAGACAGACAGACAGACGGACAAGCACTTTCTAGCATCAGTTCTTTGCTATGAAGAGGGAGAATGAAGACAGGAAAGGAGGGGTGTGTGTGTGTGTGTGTGTGTGTGTGTGTGTGTGTGTGTGTGACAGAGAACATCTTGAGAAGCCAGGTCAGGACTCGGAGCCTCAGTGTCCTCATCTGTAAAATGGAAATCGCGAACCCTTGAAAGGGCAGCACGGAGAGCAGGCGAGAAAGGCAGGTTGTATAATGACTCAGACGAGAGCCTGAGAAGTAACGTGCAGGCTGGGCTCTGCGCAGAGAAGACGCAGGAGCCATAGAAGGGGTTCTTGGAGTGAACTGGGGAGGAAGGGGCGCGGAGCAGGACCGGGGTGCAGGGTGCCGGCAAGGGAGGTACCCTGGAGCCCCGCAGGTGAGGAGTGCAAGGGGCTCTGGGGCCCGGGCGGCGCCGGGGTCCGGGGGGAGGGATGGACAGCGGGCAGCGGGCCCTCGGTCTAGTTCCGGGCTGGGCTCACACACCAGACCCTTGGAGGAGCTCAGCTTTTCTCACCCAGAATCACTTCCTTTGTTTAGAGGAGGGGGCGGGGGAGAAGAAGGAGGGCGACGAGGGAGGGGCCCGCGGTGCAGCCGCCGCCCCCGCCCCCGCCCGGTGTGCGGAGCCTGATTGTCACTCAGCTCCCGAGCGAGCCGGGGGCGACGGAGAAGCCGGCGCCCGGAGCCGGGTCCCACCCAGCTACCACCTCCTAACAGGCCGGCCCCCGATTCCCCCGGGGTGCCCGCGAGCCAGCGGCCAGAGGCGTCGAGCCACGGGGCACTGGGACAGGAGAGCTTAGGTGGCCAGCAGCGCTCCACTTTTGGTGACCTTGGGTAAGTCTGTACCCCGGTTCCCCGCCCCCTCCCCGGGGCTCCCCAGTGGTGTGTGCAGGAGAGGGTTGAAAGAAGCGACTTGGATTGCCCCCCTTGGGGCAGGCGCTGGGCAAGGGTCCCTGGCCCAGCTGGAGCACGACAGCCAGACCGGCAATGTCTCAGGCGGGTGGGCGCAGGGCACCTGTGCGCACACGCTGGGGTCTGGAGAGCCCGCAACGCAGCCTTGTCCTGGGCTCGATTTCCCAAACCCACCGGCCACCCCAGTCCCAGGTGCGAAACCGGGCGCCTACCTCTTTAAAAACGTCCTGGGCTGAGCCTCTGCCGCACCATGTGATTGCTTGAAAGGCCGGGCTGGGAGCGCTGCGGCGGGAGCCTGGAGGATGAGGAGCCACGGAGAGGTGCCCAGAGCCCAGCCCTGCCCAGCGCAGCCCCAGAGCTCTGGGTGGCTCCAGGTGCCTGCAACTTTGGGCACTGCCTCTGGGACCCCCTACCAGCCAGCAGGCAGGATGGTGAGCTCCCTGCATCCTGTTCTGTGGGCTGGGGTGGGCAGAGGCAGGCATTGGGGGACCCCTGGGGTGTGTAGTGTGCTGGGAGCTGCCTCACACTTGATTAAAAAAAAAAAGTCGGTGGAGGAGTGAGAGGTGCTATTTTAAGTCACTGAATGGAACCTCTGGGGAGGAGCAGGGAGGAGACAGAGATTAGATAGGGGAAGGACCCAGGACCCCCTCCAGCCTGAGAAGACACTGGCTGCACCAAGAGGGACCCCAGCTCCAAAGGGCAGCTGAGACCCAGAGCTGCCTGGCTCCCCTCCCCCTCCCAGGCGGGCCTCCCCACCCCGGCTTCCGTGACCACAGGTGCCTGCCTCGTGCCCCACTGTGCCTGCCCGCTGATGTGCCCAGCCTGTGCCCACCATGGCGCCCCCCATCTCGGCCTTCCAGGCCGTCTACATTGGCATCGAGGTGCTCATTGCTCTGGTCTCCGTGCCCGGGAACGTGCTGGTGATCTGGGCCGTGAAGGTGAATCAGTCGCTGCGGGATGCCACCTTCTGCTTCATCGTGTCGCTGGCGGTGGCTGACGTGGCAGTGGGCGCCCTGGTCATCCCCCTCGCCATCCTCATCAACATCGGACCCCAGACCTACTTCCACACCTGCCTCATGGTCGCCTGCCCCGTCCTCATCCTCACCCAGAGCTCCATCCTGGCCCTGCTGGCCATCGCCGTGGACCGCTACCTCCGGGTCAAGATCCCTCTCCGGTGAGTCCATAGCCAGTGCCTACAGGCCTGGGTGGTGGCCGGGAGGGCTGGGTAGAAAGGGTGAAAGGTAGACCAGATGATCCTAGTCAGACGGAGTGCTGGGTCATATTGCCCTGTCTTCCTGCCTGTGCTCTGCAGGGCCAGCCAGAGCTGCAGCTGGAGAAACAGAAGGGGGCTGGTGGGGCTGAAGGACCGTGAGCCTGGCACTGCACAGGCCCCCTGAGTGGGCGCTGCTGCTGTTCCCCTGACATGGCCAGAGACCCTGAAGCTGCCTGTCAGCGCTGCAGGAATTGGTTTGGAGGGGCCTTACAGTGCAGGGGGGAGGGAAATGAGAGGGGCTTCACCAGACTGCAGGGCAGCCGAAGCAACTGAGCAGAGAGCTAAGGGGTGCACCCAGGGGACAGGAGGCTATCTAACCAGACCCAGACAGCTTCATGAAGAAGCCCTTTCGAATTCTGGTTCTTGGGGGTCTGTGCCAGCCAGCTCCTTCTGAGGCTGCCTTGCTGGACCTAAGCCCTCTGATCACCTCTGCCCAAGTACCGCTTATGGCATCTCTGTTGCAGGCGCAAGGCGGGAGCAATGCTGGCATAGACACAACGCTCCTGTTTCTCTTGCAAAACCGTGTGTGTGTGTGTGTGTGTGTGTGTGTGTGTGTGCCTTTGCTGGGCCCAGCAGAGGGGCCTGTGGTACCTGGATGGCTTCGAGGCAGTACGGAGACTGGTGGCCTGGACCTGTCAGTCCTCTTGAGTATGGGTGCCTAATGCCTGTTGGGGCTCCCTGCCTGGATCTGCTAGGCCATAATCTCATCACCAGGCAGTGCCTGGGCCACCAAGTGCCAGTGAGTGCCTGGGCGCAGTGCCAGGGACTAGCTCTGTGGGGACACTCTTGTCCGGTGTGCTTGTCCCTTCTTTAAATTCTTGTCACCAGTAGATTGCCTTTCTATGGGGGAGCGCTGGCCATCTCCGTCACCTGCCCACCAGGGGTAACTTCCATATCTGAGACTTGGGGCCTCCGGCCTCACTTGGCTGCTTTCCCAGGCCTCGGTACCCGGGATCCTCCACTTTGTGTTGTTACATTTGTGCACATGGGACTGTTCAAAGCTCATTCTCACCAATAAGAGCCAAAGGGAAACTAAGGCCCAGAGAGGCCTCCGGCTGGGAGCAGGCCCTTGATTCCATCTGCCTGCCTTCTTGATCCCTGCCCCAGCACCACCCTGCCAGTTCCTCAGCTCTGCTACCTCCCTAGAAAGCTCCTGGGTGCCTAGGGAAGGTGGGCAGAAGGCTGCTGCTCTGGGCAGAAGGGGAGGCAGCCCAGGACCCGCTCAACTGAGCCTGTTAGGCCCTGGGTAGGGCCGCTGCCATCATTAGTCCCAGGCCCTATTGTGGCTGAGGTGGGCCTCAGCCCATTAGGATGGGCTGGGACTCAAAACCCGGCCATTAGGACCAAGTGTAGCCACATTAGGAAACTGGCCAATGTGCAGATATAGGAAGGCTGCTTGAGAAGGTTGGCTTACTGAGCGGAACGGGTGCCGGGGTGAGCCAAGGCCTGGCCCCGGTGTCACTGAAGCCCAGGCCTGCAGGTTGTACCCACCCCTACCCCGTACCCTTCCCCAGCTGGGCTGCGATGGCTGTGGGGGCAGGGGTCACAGGCTCATTCCTCCTTCTTGTTGTGCCTTGCTCCGGCCTCCAGAAGCTGGGAGAAGGTCCTGTAAAGAGCAGGGTGGGCAGGAGCAGGCCTGGAGGCTTGCGATAGTCGCCTGCTTCAAGTTCTTGCTGTGAGTGAGGGTCTAGCTGTGCGACCTTGGACAAGTCACAAACATAAGCTCTTTAAACTTTAGTGCTCTCATTGAAACTCATGGCTGTCCAGGCCAGTTTGACTCACGGTGACTCTGTAGGACAGCACAGAAGGGTGCCATTTGGGCTTCCAAGACTGTCACCCTTTATAGAAGCAGACTGTCCCACGTTCTCCTGTGAAGCGGCTGGTGGGTGGCACCCCTGACCTAGTGGTGAGTGAGCGGCCCAGCATGTAACCCACTGCGCCCCATGTCTCCTTTGACTGTGAAAGGGGGAGCCAGTGATGGCACCTACGTTCTAGGGTGGCTGGAAGAATAGAATGAACTCACACACATGTGAAGAACTTAAAACACAATCAACAGACAATAGGCTTATGTTTGTAGTTTTATTAGGACTACTAACGGAGGGGTCAAAGTGAGGCTGCAGAGGCAAGCCCGGTGCATCCCTCTACCCCTTACACAACACGCACTCAGGCTTTTACACGGGGCAAGACACACACTCCCACACAAAACGCCTCCAGGGAGGAGTCAAAGTTAGCTTCAGTTTGTCATGCTTCCTCTCTCCTGGTGGACTGTGACTGCCCCAAGGAGAAGGATCAGACGGCAGCCACCCCTCAGCTTCCACCAATCCACCCGGCACAGTACCTGGTACACAGCAGGGGCCCAGGAAAGAGTGGGCAGGGCCGGACAAGCTTCCAGCGCTAGTCGGGCTGAGCCTCAGGCAGTCCTTCTGAATGTCCAGCCTCTCCCCTTCTTGCTGTGAACCAGACCCTGCCACTGCTCCCCCGCAGGGCCATGGGCACAGCTGTCCCTCCTAGCCCTACAGCCTGGCTGTCCTGCAGTGCACAACATCCCGCACCCCTTCCCCCCAGCCCCTCACAGATAGTAGCACAGCCTGTGTGAAATTGCTCACCACAGATTAGCAAGTAAACACAATCAAGCCTGGAGAACTTTGCTCCGTGCAGCCTGGTCCTCAGTGATGAGCCGCTCTCCTGAGTTAGACAGAGGAGAGCCACCATGGCTGGCCCCAGGTGACAGCCACCCTGGGCTCATTGCTCCTACTGCCCAGGCCCCCCCACCGAGAGGAACGGCAGTGCTGTGGCCCCTCTGAGCAGCTGGAGGCAGGTGGGAGATGCTGGGGCCGGTGAGAACACCTCTCTGTCAGAGGTGCTCATGCACTCTGCTCCATGCCCAGAGGCCCAGTCTCAGGCGATTGCACCCTGGGCTTCAGGAAGTCATCCTGACCAAGCGTGAGGCATGTACTGGGTGCTGGATGACGGGATTCAGCCCCGGCCTGCACCAAGTCAGGCATGGTTTGGGCAGAGGGCTGGCCAGTGAACCACAAGTGTTATTTCCTTCCATTTGGCAGAAGGCCAAGACAGAGAAGAGATCTCCATCATATAGTGTCATCTAGTTACATATACTAAAAGCTCAAATGGTTGATGCATCAATAACCTGTAGTCATTTACGTGTGTTTTGTATGTTGTTTGCATAGCACCTCCCGGCAGGGCAGGCGTGTCGCAATTTGATGCCTACCTACTCCAGGGGGCAGATTGTGGTTAGGACTGCCAACAGGGGCTCTCTGTCTAAACCTTTTTCTGGGGGCAGGAGGCCCACACAAGGAATGTCTGTGGGCAGATGGGTTGGGGTACGGTGAGGGCATGGCAGGTGTTTGGGAGTCAGGAATCGTTGCTGGGATCCTGGATGGGTGGGGCTTGTTTTGTTGTTGTTGTTATTGTTGTTTTAAGCTCCTAGTATTGTGTAAGGAGCCTTGGTGGCATAGTGGTTATGTTCTGAAATGCTAACCACAAGGTCAGCAGTTCAAAACTGCTGGTCACTCTTGGGAGAAAGAGGAGGTTGTCTGTTCCCGTATGTTCTGAGTTACCCACTGGGAACCCACAGGGGCATTTCTACCCTATGCGATAGGGTTGCTGAGAGTCAGCATTGACTTGATGGCTTGCAGTGACTTTGGTTTGAAGTGATTGTGTGTGAGGAACGAAGTCATGTGTCTCATATCCTTTGTCTCATTTAATACTCAGTCTCTGGCTGTTAGAGGCTACTGTGACTCTCATTCTATAGATAATCCTATGTTGTTCTTGTCGTTAGGGCTATGTTAGTTTGGGTTGACTAGAGAAACAAATCCAGAGAAACTCTTATGTATACAAGAAAGAGCTTTATATCAAAGAGTAATTGTATATTAAGATTCCAGTCCAGTCCATAAGTCCGATATTAGCCCATATATCCAATACCAGTCTATGAATTCCTCTTCAGACTCACACAACCACACAACACATGCAATGATGCCGAATGCAGGAAGATCACAGGCCAGTGGGTGGAAAGTCTTGTGGCTCCAGTGGCGGTGGAAGCATCTCAGCATGGGCCCATGTCTCCGTGTGTCTCCTCCAGCTCTCTGAGTATCTCCACAGCAGGAGAGGGAAGGCAGAGAGAGAGTGTGTCCCGCCTCCAGGGCCGAAGACAGGAGTTCCAGAATCCTCAGGAGAAGGCCACGCCCACACAGAGGCATTATTGGCTATGACCTGGTTGACAGGCTAGACTCCACTCCTTCGCTCAAGTTGACGGGAGCTCCTATGACTGCCACCAAGTCCCTTCCCACAGCACCTATGTACAACAGGGTGGGGCACCCTTCGGTCTAGCGTCATCCTCACAATTGTGCCTGCGCCCGAGCCCCTTGCTGCAGCCAGTGTGAGTCCGTCTCGTTGAGAGCTTCCTCTTTGTCGCCGCCCCTCCACTTGACCAGACACGATGTCCTTCTCCAGGGACTGGTCTTTCCCGACAACGTGTCCAACGTGTCTGAGACAAAGCCTCCCCCTCCTTGCCTCTAAGAAGCACTCTGACTGAGACGATTCTACAGGTAAACTGGACTCGGTGGATTGGAGAGATTTAATACTTTGCCCAAACAGCTTGCCAGGAGCAGAGCCCGGAGTGACTCCAAGCCTGTTTAACTTATACCTAAAACCAAGCAGCCCTGGGCATCTTGCATTGCCTCCAGGAAGCTGCAGAATTTATGGATGGACTAGGCTCCCCAAGGCTGTCAGGGGGCCAATTCCCTCAGCCCACGCTCCTGCCCCTCCTCCCTGCCTGGCGGGGGCACCTTCCTCCAGTGGGCAGTGAAGCCTAAGGCAGCCCTGCCTCTGTCCACAGCTGGAAGCCTGCCCAGCTGGGCTGAGGAGCCCTGGGAGGCACCGGC